TCCATCACTGGCTCAATATCAATGGCACATAGACTGCTAATAAAGAACATATTCATTGTCACCTCAGGAACTCCTTCGAAGAGCTTTTCACCTCCTCTTCCCCAGATTTTTCTGGCATGCATCAACGTGGTCAATTCAGCTGAAGACGAGAATTCTAATCTTTGCAGGGTTTCCACCAAATGAAGAAATGACAAAATTCTAATCTATGTTGGAATCTGCCAGGATAGAGTAAGAGGGGAATGTGTGCGTGGAAGACTATCCCTGGTGCAGTAATTGAATCTATCTGGGCAGAGATGAACAACAGACTGTTATGTAATAGGAGGAATTCTGAAGATGTTATCAGATTTCTAGTGGGCAAATTGGGTCCTGGGTTTCTATAACGGAGTTTATTAATCAGAATATTTTTCTGCCGCCTAACTCCAGATATCTGTGGGATTTAGTGTTGCTCCCTGCCCAGGATGGGGTTTGTGTATGTGTCTTCCTGCCCTTGGGGCCTGTTGTGTTGTTCTTGTTTTCTTGCAATAAATTTATTACCTTACCTCATCTCAAAAAAAAAATACCATTAGACAAAGTAATGGCCCTATAAAATTGAAAAACTAAACATCACCAAAAAAAATATCTTAAGTATATCAAATAGAGATACAAGCTACTCTCTACCCAAAATTTTCAACTCAAAATGCACCATCAGCTACTGGGACAGCATGAAATAAATATCAGTCAATTAGAATAATGTTTATTTCTGTCCAAATGCCCCAATAGGTTACAAAAAGAATAGAAGTACAGCACTTCAGACAATCTTTGATTTCCTTTCACCAGCGAAGTAGGCTATATCAGATGTTTCCAAAGAGACAGCTAAGTAGGCTATATAATATTAAACTTGAGTCCCTTGGGTCTTCTATAAGTGCACATCTTGAAATCTTTGCATATGAATGAAAATTTCTAGATTTATGGTGAACGCTTATATCTTATCTGAGAGAAATCTTCTACAAATGCTCTATCTCAAGGCTGATATTGCTCAGAGATCCTGGAATAGGACGCGTGAAGCTTTAAAAAATTCTAAGAAAAATTTACTTAAAAGAACATTCCAAAAGCCAGATATTTAATTCTGAGAAATGCATTTGATTCATTTGCTTTACTGCTGCAACTTTTATTATCACCTCCAGATTTGTATAAATCTTCAGTTTTCCTAGATTGAAACAAATATCATTTAGGAGCTATTTCAAATTTTCATCATGATGTTGGCCTAGATATCTCTGGAACCTTTTCCACCCTTTTCTTTTGCATCTCTTCATCTCCATAAAATCCAGTATCATACTCTCCCCATGATCATAAAAACCCAGGTTTAGCAGTGTCAATTCCACACCAAGTACCAGTCATAGCCTTTGGTAAACTCTCACAGTATTTGTCCTCAATGTAAATGTATTAAGGTAGGTTGTAAATTAAAAACGAAAATTTCAATATCTGATTTACAGTCTCCATGGGACTTTTTTGTGGTTTACCTTTTGTTAGATATAGAAAAGTTGCCATTCCTGTCTGTCATTATCATCTAGAAGAAAGCTCCAACATCTACAACATTATGGTTTCTGTTAATATTTTGCCACTAAACAATTTTTTTCACTTTCTCAGAAAAATTCTGCATGAGCCTTGCATCATTGATCCAAACTATTTCATCAATCAAGTACAAACAAGTTTGGTCATAATCCGCAAATGTTCCATCTAACAAGGTATGCAACACAGGTTGGCCCGAGTTAACATTTTACACTGCCTCAGGCTGGGGCCTTTGGGTTGGACCCATTCATATTTTGACAAAGGCCCAATCCCAGCCCACCCAAATTGCACCCCTACATCTAATATGTGATCCTCTGGGAGTGCTGACCTTTTCTTGCTTTTCATTTCAACAGTGAGAAGTGACAATATTGGTAAAGAATTTTGGATAATGGCCCATCCATAAGGTAACTCAACAGGAAACCACCAAATGGTTAGGAGTTTATTAGCCATGTATAAAGACTTTCATCTGGCCTGTATATGATGCAGCTGACTGCATCTTATCTAATCTCCGTTTCATATATGTTTGGTGCAAGTACCATCTTTTAGAAAGAGGTTGTGCATAGTTCTAATCTTATTTCAATTTTTCACTTTAACTAAACTTGTTATTTAGGTCATGCAAGGAAAAAAAAATTCAGTTAGAGTGGCATAGCAGGTGAAACTTATTTACTGCTCTCACTTGGTCTCACCAGCTGGTTCGCTCTCCTCTTAAGAACTATGAATCCCAAGTGTGTCTCAAACATCACCAACCTAACTCAACCAAAGAAATCAATTCCAAGCAGATTCGGAAGTGAGATCCAAACAGACTTCAGAGTTGAGTCCAGCAGGTATCAAGATCCAAACAGCCACTCTACAAGTCACCAGTTGTAGAATAAGAAGAAAAAACCAACTTTAACAAGGGGTAGCATATCATAGGTGAAAGAAAATCTACCAAAATTCAAACCTCTCCAGAAATTCCCAACTCATGTTAATTCAATTCTCAAATATCATATAAATTGAATGTAATCAGTCAACATCATCATCTAAGCCTTGTCCCAACTATAGCCCCAGAAATCCTGTTTCGTCATTCCGTTCTGTTCAGTGCCATATCCATTGTTAAATTATAGGTGTTTGAATGTAATCAGTCACATTAAAAATAACTGATATCTGCATCTACCAACAGAGATGTCTACACTGGAGTTTTCTGTTTTTCCCACAGCAAATTCTAGAAAATCAGATGAAGGCATCAAACAAAATGCAAATCATCGCCATAAAATCCTATAAATTAATATCTACCAGGATTTAGGCTTCCCTTTCTCAGATATTATAGGCCATCTAGACCCCTTCAGAAATCATATGGACAGTTTGTGACATCAACACGCTCTTCTCTAAGTGAGGAGATCAGAAGAACCAACTTTGATCTTCTCTGGTATTACCAGGAAAATAGGGTTCAATCTTAGTGAAATAGAAGCAGATGAAGAAGAAAAGTGAAATATGATAAGAGAATAAAAGAGGAGAAGATAATATAGGTACATGAGAAGTGAATCTGTTGAATTGACTGAGCTTTCTATTAGAATATATATACCTTGCTAAATAGAAGGTACAACTGCAAAATTATCTCCAAACAATTATAACATAATATCTCTACAGTTCCTTTTTTTTCCTTTTGCAGACAACAAGAAGTTCAGTCAAAAAGAACTAAAACAAAACTCATACAAGAGGAAGACATGGAACATTACAAGGAAAGAAGAAGAAGAAAAAAAAAAAGAAAAGTGGACAAAACACTACAATCCCCCAAGAACAAAAACAAAGGATCTGACAGATCTGTATTATAAAAATTGTCTTTTTCACTTAGAAAAAAAGATCCAAAAGATTGGGCAACAATATTCGATAAAAATTATCAGAAGCATTGCCAATCTTCTATTGACTAACATTGAGCAACAATTTTGTCAAAATCTTACAATTTACGATTTGAATCATGAACCCCAAGGGTTTCGATTCGAATCTTATGTCTGAATCTTTTTCTGCAAAAATCTTACAATTTGATTCATAAATGTTATGATTTTTACGATTCAAATAAATTCAATTAAGAACTAGTTCTCTACTTGTT